TCAAAGTGCAGTTTAATGTTGCCCGAAAATATTCAGAAAAGCTGCCTGAAGCTTGCTAGAAACCTTGTAAAAGCTGAAGACCATGAATGAAAGGCCTTACTACAGAGCCTCTTCCTGATACTGTGGACTGGAATTTAGCCCAAGCAAACAGCCGGATAAGGATATGTGGGGTGAAGGAACTTCCCAAGGTTACTAAAGGAAAAGTGACAATCTATGGGAGATTTGGTTATGAACTGAAAAGCCCTTTAATACATTGTATGAGCATTAGCTATAGCAGGGGTAGCCAAACTGCGGCTATCCAGCTGTGGTGAAACTACAAATACCATCATGCATCCGTCTCTGGGTGTCATGCCTGTGGCTGCAAGAATCTTGCAATGCCTCATGGGACTTGTAGTTTTACCACAGCTAGAAGGCCGGAGTTTGGCTACCCCTGCGCTATAGTATAGTAAAGTATATCTACACATGGTCACCATAAAAGATCGAGAATGTGGCAAATGCCATACTAACGTGCAGTTTATAAAAACTCAACACAAATGTGTTTTTCACAAAGGCATATGTTCTATAGGCCTTTGTGAAAAACACATTTGTGTTGAGTTTTTATAAACTGCACGTTTTTATAAATTGCTAGATATAAAAAAATGAAGAAAATGAAATAGATACATATGAACCCTACAATTTATTTTTATTGTTTTTGTCAACAAGATAAAATGACAAGAGTCTAAAACACAGGAATAAAAATTTGTATTAGAGTAAAGCGGTCATTTCCTATGAGGGAAAGAAAAAAAAAAGGGACTGGATTCTGACGCACAAGACTTCCTGCCATAATTGCCATTAATGCATGGCTACAGCAAACAAAATGCCCATAACTAGACGGCCGGGAAAACTGCCTGAAAGAAACAGAAGCAAATGTAAAGCCCATACAAAAGATCAGCTTGCCCAAAACAGATTTGGATAAATGCAGCTGTTTAAATCACCCAACAATTTCATTTAAATCTCAGTGACCCCGAACTTTGCTTGCCTGCTGCTGGCTCGATTTTGCATTTGATTTTATGCAGCAGGAGCGAGTTCCTTGCCTGGCTTCATAATGGCTGCGAGGGAAAGGAGAAGTAAATAAAGAACGGCAGACATACCCTGCTAATAGGAGAGCGATCAGAGAAAAAAAAAAAAACCCCCACCAAGCAAGCCAAATCTACTAGCATGCCTCTGGGGTCATAAGCATATGAGTGTTTAAGACCACCCCTTCATAAATTTATTTTATTTTCCTTTTACCAGAAACAGGCAAAGCTGCGTCAAGTCTGCAGTGCAAAGTAGGACAGCACAGGTGACTGCAGTTTTCCATGTATGATCATCATCATGGCTTCACTGCTGTCAGACTAAACAAAAGCTGGGGCTGTGGGATGAGATTTTCTGAATGACTACAGCAAGTAAATGTGTTCCATTCTTGCATTAGTAACAATTGCTCCCTTTTGTTCTACTCTGCACTTCTTGTCTAACCTCCCCCATTTTAATAAAAGCATGCCAGAGAATGACACCCATGACCTAAGTCCTTTTGGGTGGACTGACTAATTAGTCCTAATCAAAGTTCCAGATTCTACTTTTACATAAATCACCTATACCCAGGTGGGTACAAAATAAAAGTTAGAGATCATGCAAGTTACACTTCTGAGGGTTTATCCACTGGAGTGTGGGTTTGGTTTTCAGGTACCGCTTCAGTCTCCACACTGTCACGGGAAGAAGATTGTGTTGATCCAGCAGCGGACTCTTCACCCTGCATTTTAACTAGCCTGTAACTACAAAGCATCTCCTCCAGGAGTTGACGGTAGTTCCCCCTATGATTAATTCTCAGCTCCCTGAGAGCTTCCACCAACCTTCCATGCGCTGTATTGTCCTCTGATCCAGTGGGGTCCTTATTTAAGATTCAAGACCCCAGTGTCAGTATGTAAAACAAGTGTCATACTAAACATGCCACATGCATACAACAAAAATATACGTCTGCATTACAGCAATGAAAGAATGGCTGATGAGGAACATTCATGACAAAGCTAACACTTTTAGAACTTTAGTCACAAGATCTGTTTCTAAACTGCTTCATTTTTTACAAGACAGGACTGTAAATGCCTTAATTTGGCTACTCAAAGTAGGATGCTTTAATGGCTCATAAACACCAGTATGATGCAACCATGTGGGTTACCTGCACGTTAAACAACTGAAAAGGCACCCCAACCGAATGCCTGACTATACATAGGGAAGGCACCAAAAAAGCGCTCATGCACATGGCCTGCACACAAGCATCAGGGCACTTTTTTTGCAGAAGTTACTTCCATGATAGACTGCATTACACTAGGAGTTGGCTTGTCATATGAGAACAGAAATGTGTTTTCACTGAATAGGTTCAGTTAGGGAAGTTTAGAAAATTCAGTTTATCTTTATGTGCAAATTGTTTAAAACAAATAGATTTTTTTTCTTAATATCAGATTAAAAATACCAATATCTTAAAAAGTAACCCGACAGGCTAGAAATACGGAAGCCGAAACAGGCGATTTTACTTTAAGAAGTCTGCTCCCCTTATTGAACTATTGACCTGGAGCAAGTATGCAGCCATAACAGTGTTCCGACAACACACTTGTTCTAGGTCAGTGACACACACAGCAGGTAGCCTTGGCATAAACCCCTTTAAAGAATAGTCCGCAGTGATAGCTATTCATAGCCAGACAATATTCAATAATTGTGACCAGGCTAATACAGGTCTGGACAATACCCACGGGACAAATAGCCATTGCTCGAAGAAAATATTACCATCTGGAGGATGCCCATTACAGCCACTTTAAGCACACCAAACTTCTTAGATAGATAGGACTAGCTCCCGTGCTGTACATTAGTCAGCCTTTGCAGTATTCCCAGAATTCACTGTAATGGATTACCAACAGCAAAACCAGTGCCTTGCCTACTTTACACTGAGGTTCAGTAAAGCCACACGGCCTGAACGAGGATGACATTTAGTTATAACATTGTAGCAGTACCAAATCGAAAACAAACGCTATTCCATCATTTATGAAAACTTACCCCATCATTGTCTCTATGTGGATTCAACCTATTATAAACATCTTCGATAACACTGCGTCTGCAAAGACAGATTACCAGTTAGCGTCACCAAAATTGTTATCATGGAATAAAATGTATAAGTTCGCAGCAATGGAGTCGCTAGATGCCCTGGGCAAAATGACAATTTACAGACTGCACTGGGTGTGTAAATCATTTAAAAAGCAGAGAGCTGCAGGCAAGTAGAAAAATCTTACCTTGCGGCATGCTGGCTCCCTGTACGCAAGGCCCAAGCTTCTGGGCACCGAGAGAAAGATGCCTCGATCACTTCACCCATCCCTCCCTACTATGGTCCATTCACAAAATGTCTTGTATATTTTTTTTTAACAAATAAAAGACATTCTGTATTTGGAGGAGATATGGGAGTCACATTTCTGCCCCCACCTCTCCAATCACAATATTCTTGTATAATAAAAAAAACACAAAAGACATTTAATGACTGGACAATAGTGAAGAGGGGCAGGTGATGTATCCAGAGCACTGTACTGCTAGAGTCCCATCTCTCCCTCTCTTTAGTGTCTGGGAGCTGGGGGTTATGTGCAGGGGTTAGCATGACGCAAGGTAAGATTTTTATAGTTTGCAGCAGCCCTCTGCACATCACACAGCTTTTAAAATGATAATTTACACACCCCAGATGGTCCAGAAACAAGGAATTTTGCGCAGAATGTGGCTTTAGGCACACCACTACTAAGCTCCCCTTTTCCCAGCATTCTTGTTTTAGTGGAGTCAGAGTCCTAAGTGAAATGGTTACTTGACATTTCATGAAGGTGCCAAATTGTATGGTCATGTACTCTACATTACAAAAAAAAAACAATTTTCCTCCTCCCCATCACCCATATCCTGCTTCAATAGAACATTGGTAGTAGTGCTTACTCGAGTAAGCGCTATTCAGCGTGAAACAATTTTGAGACTTCTTGCTGCTTGTATATACCCAGTTTTAGGATAATAAAGAATTTTGCTGTGTGTTGAATTATGCAAACATCTGCTGTTCTACCAAGTAGATTTCCAGTAGTAAGATGGATGTGCACCTGGCTGTACGTCGCAGGCATATGTGGACCAAACTGGAGCAGTACTGACCATTTTCCCATATCCTGATCTCAGTGGCACTTCTTACTATATGTACTTTTTACATTTTTTACCATACATTAGTGTACTTGTAATTTAAAGCCAGCCTGTAGTAAAATTGACCTTTGTCCAAGTTTCAATAATGGTCAATGAGGCCCATCTATTACAGTGATGGATTAATAGATGGGAGCAGAAGGCAGTGCGTAGCATGCCAGTTTAACGTACATCTAAAACGGAATGTTTCAAGAAATACAGATTGGTCACTTTCCTGTCTTCAACCTGCTAAATGCACAATGAAGGCGCATCAGCGCAATGAGGAGCCATCAATCTACTCTTGTAAGCAGAAAGACCAATGCTTGACAACATGCAGTACAATAAAGATTTTTGTACATTGATGCCTTTAGTCATTTATGCAAAGTGGTAGATTGTGGGAAGCAAATGTACCGATTTCAGCCAATAGGAATTCTTTTAAACACCACAACTAAATTAAAAAGCATTATTGCATGTTTTCCTTTAAACCCATCCTTTTAATTAGGCACATCCTCATAAATTTCCATATATACCACGTTCAGTCACTCACTTTCCAGCTAAGCCACCTCCAGGTGGCAAATTTGGGATATTCTCTGCTGACAGGATGCGCATTACATGAGCAAGATCTGGCATTCCTTCCTCCCCAGCAGTTGTCATGATTTCTACGAGAAGAAATAGTAACAATTTTTATTTTGGCAACAATGAAACAGACCAGACACATAGCAACTCGTATGTTGCTATAAATACGGAGCTTTATGTAAACTTGTATCACCGTGAAGCACATCAACTATGCTAACAGCATGTCATGTTATTCTAGGGAAGCGGGAACCAGGATCTCCAGTGTGAATGCCAACAGAAAAACACACACCACCCACGACTAACATGGCACGACTTGTTTAACGTCAACAAAACATACATATAAAATGCAGATACAAGTTGCGGGTAAAATCTTTTAGTATTATTCGGTTTCAAAAATTGAAGGTGTTCCAAGTAATAATGGACCAACTAGGCCTTTCACATTTATTACTCTTCTACATCAAAAAGCAACCTCAACTCACCATGTAAAAATGACTGAATGCTAAAAACAGGTTTTTTGTCATACCTGTAAACTCCATCCCTTAAAGTACATCACAGAACACAGAGTTCATTCTGGAACCAATGGGACATCTAAAAGCAGTCCAATGGAGGGGCAGGCAACACAGCAAAACGACTGCTAACAGATCTGTGAAATACACATACAAACCCCAACAAAGGGGCCCACAATTTATAGGGCCGTCCAATGAACTTTGCATCCAAAGCTGGTATCTGCGAAGGCCTGGCTCTTAAGTCAAGGCAGCCAACGTCTCGCAGAAGTGATGGAGATGATAAAAAGGTAACTTGCAAGTGAGAAGGTTCAAAGGGTGGTTTCTAAAGGGCCAACAGAACCAAACTGAGGTCCCACTGAGTTACTGGAGTGCGTAAAGGGGAGACAATGAGCAACCCCCTGCACAAAAGCCTTCATCAGGGGCTCGCAGTATACTGAGCTTAGGGTAACGGGAGGACGCCAGTTTGTGTCCTAGCGTTACCCTAAGGAGAACTATGGGGAAAAGCCCTGACCCAATAGTTCTCCTTTAACCCCTTCGTGACTGACGTACAGTGTACGTCGCCAGCATCGGGGATGTTTAAACAGACTCCCGGCGGCAATAGCCGCCGGCACTGTCGGCTTTACAACAGAAGCGATTCTGGCGACTTAGGCCCCATTCACACTGCGCGATTCGCAAATAGCGCGTTGGTCACGCGATCAGCAAATCATCGGGAGTGATGCAGATTGCATCACTTCCGGTCCCTGGGCTGTCAGTTCTAGGCTCCTGCAGCCCAGCCAAATATCTATTGAAGTGCCATGTGCACTTCAATAGCTTATTTCCAGTGTAAAAGGTGACTGGGGGTCTTTTGGACCCCCAGCATCACCTTAAAGAGTACCTGTCACCCCCATCTGCTTTCACATGAGGGGGCTTGTAAGCCCCCCTATGTGATAGCAGTCAAAGTAAAAAAAAAAAAAAGTTTTTTAAAATGAAAAATAAATCTAATAAAAATTTTTTTAAAAGTGCCTAAAACGCGCGTCGGGTGCGCTTATGTATGAAAACAACGAACGCGCTACACATGCTGGGTATCGCCGCGCACGCGGGAGAGCAATAATTCTAGGGCATCTCTAAATTGATGACCTGTGGGGGCTTTTTGGGGTACTGCAGTTTTTCGCCGTTTCACGGACGCACGCAATTTGTAACCTGGGGATGTAACCTCATCTTTTATATTTCATTTAAAAAAATGGGTATTTTGTTGTGTTTTGGGGCATTTAATTACATTTGTCACTAAATGTTGGGGTTTAATAAGGAGTTGCGCTAATATTGTGCAACATAAAAATTTGCAACTACCACCATTTTATTCTATAGGGTCTTGGCATTTAGAAAATATATAATGTTTGGGGGTTTTAAGTCATTTTCAGGCCTAAAATGTGGAATATAACAAGGGTGCAAAAAATGAAAAAAAGGCCTCAGTCATGAAGGGGTTAAGTATATGTCCCTGTCTGTGCCAGGAAGGACTCAGCGAGTCAATTATATGCACAATATAAATTTAGCTAATTAAAAACACAACCACGTTGTATCTACCTTTTATTTATTGGTTTTAATAAAAACACGGCGGAAGCCCTTTTTCACTTTGAAGTAAATGCTACTTTGGGGTGAGAGCTTTGATTTTTTTCTTTTTGGTGAATGGGAGCACATCTGAGATAGTAGTTTTAACTCACACAAAATTAGTTTTTCTGATTTTCAGCATGCTATGTTGGAACTTGGAATAGTGGCAGCGTACTGCAGACTTTCATAAAGAAAATTAGATGACCGAGACCATGACAAGCTGCCGATCCGCCTCTTAGCGACACCTCACCGACATCAGAATTATGGTCGTTCCTTTGTGGGGCAAAACGTTGCAGAATCTTGACAGCTTTTGAGAGAACAGATAAATTTGGCCAGCAAGGCAGCGACACAAAAGTAATCAGCAACACGGCCTTCAATGGACAAACAGTGTGCTTTTCCCATCAGTTTTATGCTTCTGAGATAGTTCAGAATTCATTGCATGTGCAGTTGAATGTTCCAGCTTCTTTATGCCCATAGACTTCAATGAAGAACACAGCCGTTATGAAAGGGCCGAAAGCTCTGACACTGGCCCTAAAGGTGCCCACAGACTTTACAGTACAGTGAGGCTTGTAGGTACAATATGGCCACTGAATAACCAGGAGGACTGAAGACAGGCAATATCAGGAAAGTCCTTTAGACTCAAGTTTACCAAAAAGTGGCAGCAAACAGTTTTGATGGAGCAAACATTCCATAACAGAAGCAATGCATTGTGTGCAAAGCTACGAAGCAGGAAGCATGGTATGTTTATATGACGGACATATATGGCTGTCCTCAATATACTCAAATGCAAACTATACAAAGTTCTTCTTAATACCCATTTTTAATTATTCCTTTTATACAAGGACACAAGTTGACCACCTTCCGTTGAAAAACCTAAAATATATTTGCAAAACAAAAAGCACCCCCCGTCCTCTGGTATTTAGAGCTCACTACTTACATATCTTCCAACTCTAAACACAGTATAAACTTCTTTCAACTGCAGCCCTGCATGAGGCTTTGGTAACCTTGGCTACACAATACCATACAGCTTACTCTATAGGGCCCCATTGTTTTAGCAATCAACTGAAGACAACTAAAAATCACCCATGCAGATTAGGCCCCAGCACACGCTTGTTAGAACTGTTCAAAGCACAGCAGGATGTTAAAGAGAAAACTACCTCATGTTCTATATGACAGAGAGGAAATGCAAACTAAGGGCTTGTTGACATTTTACCGCATGAAAATGCTCTAGGCAATATTCCCCATTCATTTATATGGTCTGCACACATCTATACAATGGAGTTTAGTTTTAAAAACTAGGACATTTGACATTTTTTGAGTGGTCATATGGCTAAGGAGGAGCACCAAAAGCAATAAAGCTCAGAAGAAAAAAAAAAAAAAACAGTCCAAAGTACCACAGTCTTCTGCGTTTGAACACATCTACACCATTACAAAAAGAAATCCCTATTCTAAATGTGTCACTCACTTTCCATACTGCAATAGGTTGATAATGAGGTAGGCCATCGTTATCTTCATCAAGAAGTTATTACAATCTGGCTTTGTATACTGGAGCCTAAAAGGGAAGCTTTTCATTTTTGTTAGAGAACTATGAGGTGAGTGCTTTTCACTCACTTCATAGTTCTAGCCGACCTGTGACAATGAGACTGTCACAGGTCGGCTCAGTAGATCGGGAGGTGAGCGAACATATACCGGCGTTCGCTCACCTCTCGATCCTGTCACGGCTCTCTGCCGTGACAGGGGAGGGGCTGGATTACCCCCTCCCCGCTGCGATCCGCCAGCGTTGACTGGCGGAACGGTCGGGGGGAGGGTACAGCTGGCACTTCCGTATGTCAAAAGTGTGTCAGTCATTTACGAACAGAAACCAAAAACAAGCTCAGTCATAAGGGGTTAAGCTTTGGAGTGGTGAGGGGTCAGATCCCGAGTCAAAGGCTTTTTTTTTTGCAGTGTCCCCCCTGCTGGGGAGATCTACCCACTTAAATTGTGACCATTGACACCGGGACTGAAAGTAAAAGGAAGACCCAAAACAGATTTGCCACCAAAACAGGGAGAGGGAAATCTTCCAATGTGTGACAAAAACTGTCTAATCCAGGGGTAGGCATCCTTGAGAATCAACTCATTGCAAGACTGAGCCACAGACATAACTCCCAGAGGCCAGGTGGATTTGTAGTTTCATAACAGCTGGAGCAGCAAGGTTGCCTACGCCAAGTTTAATCTTACTTGGGATAGATTTGCTCTCATTTCCCGTTACATCTGCAGGACAGGACACGTTAAATCTCCTCACTGGGACACAAATGGTTCTCCATTTAACTGGCCATACACCCGTACAATTTTGTTAGAATTTATTTTCAGATTCGAATGTCTAATGGTTACTGAAGTCTAATCAGTATTAGTTTTTGACCGCAGCGATGAGGAAAAAAAAAAAAAAATCAGGATGAAAAATGTTATGTCTTTGCTGAAAAATGAGGGCCTGTTCACACCACTCCCAGCGAGTTGCAGCACAGATAGCTGCTAGAACCCACTGGATCATACTGGAAAATCCTCCTTGCGTTCAAGTCAATGACATCTGAAAGGTATAAAGAAGGTCAGGGCTCTCCAGGGCCCTTCATTCCGTTCACATCTAGTTTCTGGTACAAGCATTTTTTGCAATCGCACTGAACCGGAACGCAGACATTGATGTGCCACGCGTTCTGGTGCGGGCGATTGCACTGCGGGCATAGCTGCGGTGTCATTAACCTCATTATAGCGCTGAATACTGAAAAATGGCCTGGATGGGAAGGGGGTTTAACACCGCGGATGTCAACTGGTTAACTTGATTTCACCACCAAGTTCCCTCCCACCTCAGAAAGCAGGGAGAATTTTCGAATGTGATTCAGTGCGTTCCAGCAGCTAACCGTGCTGAAACGCACTGGAAATGGTGTAAACAGGCCCTGAAATGGCATTCCATTTAAGAAGCTGGTCTGGATAAAATTCAGGGTTTTTCTAACTAAATTAGTGGACACAATGACCAGATTCAATGCTCTGATGTGAGATTTCAAACATTCTAGCAGCACAAGGCCAGCTTTAGTCAGAAAGTAAAGAACCTCAATATACAATGGCACTGTAAACAAAGACAGGGTGTCTGGGTGCTGTTTAGAAGTAAACTCTGGGAGATCAGGTTGCTTGAGTGTTAGTACATAAAGAGCTCAAAAGCAAAGAACATTTTAATCTAAACCAGAAGTTTCTTTGAATAAAGCAGAACACATACCACACAAGGTGAAAAGTGAATGTTACATTTATACCTTCAATTCTCGATTCCAAATGTTTATCCAGCTCCGCATCTTTCTTGATGGCTTCTTCACACACCTTTGGGGCGTTTTGAAAACAAACCAGTACAATGCTCATATTATCACGGCTTCCCTGTTATTAAAACAAACACATCGGTAAATACTAATGTACACCACTCACTGCAGGCATTAATCCATTCATTTTCCTAAAACCCAACTCCAGCCTAACTTTTATTTTACGACAAAAGGGGGCTAACTGACCGTTATTAGGGCCTGGTCCTTTTTACCCAATCCTTCTAAACGCCAACCCCAAGACATCATAGTAGTATTACCCTTAGCTGGAGGTGTAAACAAATACATGAATACTTACCGCTGGAGTGTGTGCAACACAGCTTAAAGTATTACACGCAAACTTTTATTTAAATAATGAAGCCAGAACAAATATATATTGCACGGCAAAGTATTTCTCATCCATATTTCAGAAAAGCTGCTTCCAAATACTCTCAGCTCCGCTTCCCTGAACTTCCTGTAGAATACAAGGTCACAAGGGACAGCACAGTCTCCAGCGGCCGTCTTATCTACTAGCTTAGAAAACGGAAAGCAGTGGGGAGGGGGGAGGCTTGCCTTGCAGTGCCTGCGCATTTGGGGAGACACAGCTTAATAGCTAGGTCAGCACATTGGAAGAAATCTCAGCAACCTATGGGGTCTATAGAAGGCCCTAGCCAACCTTTACAGATAAAATGACATTGCCTGTTGCTGGTAATTTATAGAAAGAACATGTCCCAATGTCTAATGGCTTACCTTATGTAAACAGGTGTCCACCACAGAATTACACACTTTCTCAAGGTCATCGGTTATCTCCAGCCTATACTTGACAAATTCACAAAGCTCCTCATTGCTCATGACATCCCAAATACCATCACAAGCTAGTATTATAAATTCATCCTCGTCTGACCGTACAATTTCATAGACCTCGGGCTCCGGAGACACAAGCTGCTCAGTAGGGCCTTTGCCATCAACACATTTGTAGTCATAGTCTCCGAGTGCGCGGGAAACCGCCAAAGAGCCATTGACGCGCTGAATCATGACGCTGCCTCCGGCGTTTTGGATCCTCTCCTTCTCCTTAGGATTGCAGGGCTTGTGATCCTGTGTAGAAAAGCAAACCTGTCCACACCTAAACAAAACAGATCTAGAATCCCCACAGTTGATGAAATACACGTGGCCCGGTGACATAAGGACTGCAACAGCTGTAGAGCCACTTCTGTCCATCCCATTCCTCAAGTCAGCAAAGTTGCGCATGTACTCGTCGATTTTTAAAAACCCAGTTCGAATGCCACTTTTAACATTTTCTACAGAAGGTTCCAAAGCAGATCCTGGAGTCTCTGCTGCCCTGAAGTCTTCGTTGTCTGTAATATGCTCTAGTAAGTGCGAAGAACAGTAATTTGCAACACGGGACCCTGCATGGCCATCGTAAACGGCAAAGAAAGACCAGTCTTCCAAGCCATGAGGGATACCCACTACAGCGGTGTGAGCATCCTCCATCTCCACTCGCCAGCCCTGCATACTGCTGAGTCCATAGCGCAATCCATTTCCTGCCCCACGAGCATTGTGTTTCTCAGTTTTGGGTTTGTCCAGAAATGCCCCCATTTTCAGTAATCAATCTGGAAGAAAAATAAATACAAATAAAATATAGGTTTTAAAATAACAAATATCAACACGACCCTCACCAAAATGCTACAAATTGTAAGTATAAAGCAGAACTCCAGACGAAAACAATTAATAGCACATACAAAGATTGAATATAACCAGCTTTTGCTGCAATATTTAACTTCAATCCATGGATTTCCACCAAAATACTTTGAATTTTCACTGTTTGTTGTCCTCAGCGTGGACAACTTAATTCAACCCACTTCCTCTGAGCCCATGTCCTCCTGCACTCACCAAAAGCCTGTGAATTGATAGTGGAAAGAGAAGCAGCATAGATAATAACGCAGATCTGTCACTCTGCTTTCTCTAATCAGCATGCTTCTAGTCAGCACATTAAACAGACCAACCATTGAGCTGCTTCTTCCTCTCACATACCAGCTTTGCTATACAGGGACTGTAGATGGCAAATAACGGGTACCGAATTTAGGTATTTTCAATGCTTGCATTTAAAAAAAAATTTAAACAGTATATTAAATATTACAAAACTGCATTATATTTATGTCTTAAATGCCTTCCTAATGTTTAAGACAGACCTATACAGAAATCGCACCCCACATTCTAACCAACCTGTGTTCTCAAATAGGAGGGGTTACCCTAAAGAGACATGAAACTAGAGTTTAGGGCTGCAACAACTAATCGTCATAATCGATTATTGAAAAAGTTGTCAACTTTTTAAATAATCGATTAATCGGCTTCCAATCAGTTGGCCCTGTTCACAGCTCCACACGCTGACAATGGCCTCCTCCCCACCTCACGCTCGCCGCTGCCAGACCTGCCCGCATCCACACCTCACCGCCCACCCACATCCACCTGTACTATAGCTGGGATTTGTAGTCCTCTATAGCCGGTGCCATTCTGCATTCATTGCTGTATAATCTTACACTTCCCATTTCACTACATTGCACACCACACTATCTCTTTCTTTTTTACTTCCACCGCTCCAAGCTTGCTCCTGTGATGGACTACAACCTCAATACAAACTAGTAGTCCCATCACTGGAGCCTTTTTTTAAACTTTATTTTATTGTTTATTCGATTAACCGATTAATCGAACCTAATAAATCGGCTAACTAATCGATTTTGAAAATAATCGTTAGCTGCAGCTCTACTAGAGTTGAACCTTAAAATTTACATTCAAGTATCTTAATGGATTAACAATACTGTATCTTATTTGTGGATCACTCGGCTGTAGATCCTCAAATCATCTCTGAATAGGTGCCGACACTGTCCTTCCTTCTGCAGGGTGGCTACTTGTGTGCCCTATGGTCCCTGTGTGTTGTAGAGTAGTCACCACTCCAAACGCGCTCCTATGATGGACTACAATCTCAACACAAATAAAAAAAACTAAAAACATGAGATTGCAGTCCATCACGGGAGTGAGCTTGGAGCAGTGGCTACTTTACAACACACATGGGCTTACACTCATCCCCATAGTTAGCAGACATGCGACATTGTCTAAAGGAATGGAAGGGGAGGGGGCAGGCAATAGCCCTCTATATATACACTGAGTTTTGGGTCAAGGGAGGACATTAGTATAGATTCTCCTGTGACCCAAAAGAGAACTATGGGGATAGATGCCTCTCCCCCATGTACAAAAGCATATAAAACTAGAGAACTTCCCCCCGGATTGAAAGATTCATGCCATCTAACGCAGACTACCGCCTCCTCACTTTGTGAAGGGCAACCTATTACTGCTCCCACAACCTCTCACCCTCCCGCGACCATAGCAAGGCTATCCCTAATCCCCTCCCTCCCCTTTTCACCCACCTACTCCCCACCCCTTGCTGTTCTCTTCTGACCCCCCTCCCCCATGCCATCAATTGTACTGCAACCAACATAATTATCGAAACCTGGAATACCCATTCTTGTTATCACATCTAACTACCATGCCCCCTTTGTGCATTCTTTCAACTCCACCACCAGAAAGTTCCCCCGGACATAACTTTAGGTATTCGCATGCCTAGAAATTCACTGATATGTCCCCCAAAATGCAGGGATACACACATCCAAGCGCTTTTATTGTTTATTCTTTAATTGACAATGGTAGATGTTTCTACATTCCAGGATTCGACCCGTGCATGTAATACTGTCGATTACATTGATGCAATGTGAATGTTACATGCTTTGATTTGTTATGATATTGTCATTCTGATGCTTTACCTTAAATCAATAAAAATATTTGAAAAAAACAAAAAAAAAAAACTAGAGAACTACGGGGTTATGTCTTTTCCCCATATTTCTCCTTAGGGTAACGGGAGGACACAAACTAGCGTCCTCCCGTCACCCTAGGCTCAGTATACCGCGAGCAGTATACTGAGGCGCCGCAGCTGAAGCGGAGCCCGACAATTGTGCTGGGATCCGCCCAGCTGCGTGACTGACAGCTGGCTCTGCCTATCTAGAGGCAGAGCCAGCTGTACCCGCCTCCTCCCGTTCCACCAGTCAGTGCTCATTGTCATGCACTTTTGTAGCTCCGTACGACGTACGTCCTTGGCAGCGAAAGGGTTAAAGCCAAAAAAAAATAAGAGAAAACATAACACCTGCAACTCAAGCATTAGGGCAGATACGGCCCCAGTTAAACACAAAATTAACCTGAGATGCATTGACCCCTTCGTGACTGATGACGTACAGTCGCCAGATCCGGGCCCGGGACCGGCGATCTTGGTGTCCGCCGGGAGCTGGGGAGGAGGTCGACGAACTTCCGTTCATCACCTGCTAACAAATGGAGGGGCTTGTAAGCCCCCCATGTGATAGCAGTCAAAGTAAAAAAAAAAAAGTTTAAATTAAATTTAAATAAAATAAAAATAAATCTAATAAAAAAAAATGTAAAAGTCCCCCACCCCCGCGTCGCCACGTAAACACGCTTCGGGTGCGCCTACGTATGAAAACGACGAACGCGCTACACGCCGGAGTGAGAGCCATAATTCTAGGGCCAGTATTTTGGGGTATCTCTAAATTGATGACCTGTGGGGGCTTTTAAAGCGTCTATGGACTTTTTGGGGTACTGGGGTTTTTCGCTGTTTTACGGATGCACGCAATTTGTAACCTGGGCATGTTGGGTATCGTTTTACTAAAATTACTAAATATTGGGGTTTAATAAGGAGTTGCGCTAATATTGCGCAACATAAAAATTTGCAACTACCACCATTTTATTCTATAGAGTCTTGGCATTCAGAAAGTATATAATGTTGGGGGGTTTTAAGTAATTTTCAGGCCTAAAATGTGGAACATGGGTACAAAAAATGAAAAAAAAAGGCCTCAGTCATGAAGGGGTTAATTAGAACCTGTAAGCAGCCTTCGACATCCAGGTGTCTGCGTATTGAGGACGGTGAGCGGTGAAAGTCTCCGAGGAGGCCATGTCCAAGGAGCCGAGCCTGGCCCGGGCCCATCACTGAGCACGAGCCATGGGGTGTTGGAACCCAAACAAAAAAGGTGAATTCGGACTGAAAAATCCGTGGATCTCCAACGACTTTCGTCTTTGCGCCTCATGGTCCGTGTGTGCTGGCAACGAAAAGAGGAGCGTAGTGGGTAGCGACGTCTTCCTCTAGACGGGCGAACCTGTCGTTGGGCGCGAGGTGCCATGGGAAGGGAAGTTTAACCAGATCGGGAGATCTATCGGTGCCTCTTTCAGCCAGCGGAACAGATGAAAAGGATGGCCCCAGCTGTGCGTTTAATATCCAGCACTGGCTTCAGCATCCTCAATGTGTGGCGTGACAAGTCGGGCATCACTTGTATCATGGCACCATCAAAATCTAGCGGGCCCTTGGTCCAGGCCTTCCGCATAATCTCTTCCTTAACCGAAAAGAAGTGGACCCTGCACAACACATCCCTGGGCACAGAAGAGTCAGGGTGGGCGGAACGATTGCTTCGGGGACCCCCTTTAACCTGATATTGTTACAGCGGCTGCGGTTTTCGGTGTCATCTTGATTCAGCCTTTGCTGTGTAGCTGCGTGTGCCGATTCCAATGCTGACATTCTAGAAAGGAGATAGTCTGTGACGGTTTCTACAGCAGCAACCTTGCCATCTAGTGCCACTACCTGCCGTTGTATTTCATGCACCTCTGTCCGCAGAGCCTGCACTATCTTCGCTGCCATTTCATCCAGATCAGCCTTGGTGGATAGCTGGGGGGGAGGAGGGAACGCCATGTGTGCTCACTGCCGGCCTCACGGGGGTACCCGTGTGACATCCTGGGAGTCTGGATCGGAGAGCTCTCTCGATCCGACCTCGATGTGGCGGGGTCAGGGGCCCCAGGCATAGCTTAGGCATCCGTTTATTAGGAGTCTGACCCCACCGAGGAGTAAAGGCTGGGCGCCATGTTGGATTCCGGCACGGCCTGCAGGAGTCGGCGGCTGCCCGAAGTAATGCAGGAGATCCCGGTATGTGGTCGGTGGGGGATGAGCTGCAGGCTCGTTTAGGCTGCAACAAGGGGGGAGAAAGCGTTTTAAAGTCCACTGAATCGTCTTGGGAGACGGGGCCGTGCAGAGCTCCGGTTCAATGCGACCTCACTCCTGCATGTCCAGACCACGCCCTCCCAAAAGAGAACTATGGGATAAAAAGGTTACATATAGTTCTCTTTAAGGTAGTTGAAATCAAATTTTTAAGGTTTAACTCCTGACTTTAAATGTCTTGCTGAATGCCATGCCCAGCCTTACCTTTTGTGGTGGTCACCTGATACACACACACCAAATAAAATCACTAAACTACTACAGTTAAAAAGGCTTTGGTTGCACACCGTCTGTCATTTTATGGGACACACTGTATATAGCAATGTACAATCAGAGGAGGTTCACCTGGAGGCCACACTTCTCCCCAAAAATGCACAGCACCATACCAGAAAACCCAGACTGCACCCAAGGCAGCTGAAAAGTGTGGTTCCCCAGCACACTTTCAGCTAAGGAAAAAAAAAAATAGCACGTTCAGTTTGGCCACAAGGTGAGAGGCTGCTGTAGACATTTGTG